CATTCAAGTATCTATCATTGGGATTCAGTTACCACTGGAAACACGTTCATTTATCACTCAATTTTGGGTTCCAATCCTCTTACCTGCCACTAGATGGATTTGTGTTTCAATTCTTACGCGCTTTCTAAATAGGTCAGTCTCCCACCAGCTAGAATTTTAACCCGTTTTCTGTTCTATTTATAATATTTGTTTGCAAATTTGGTGTTCCCAGTTTGACCAACAGTGTTCAATGCACTGATAAAGAGATGTACTTACCTTATTTATTTTTTATTCAGTTAGCCAGAAGAGCACTGTGGCCAAGGTTAGCCTCAATAATGCTTTGACTGGCCTGTTTACGGATAGCTCTCATTTACTTGCTTCAATTTTAATTATTTTTATATGGCGTTTGCTGCGATGTGAATTACACTTCTTACTTACAGTGACTTTAAACGTGAAACTTAACCCATCCTGGGAATGTTTGGCCGTGACATGGTAGCAGTCAACACGTGGTAGAATATGGCTGAGTTTAGCTAACTGATGGTAGTGCGTAGAGGCTAATGTTCTGCACTTTATGGAGTTGTGAAGATACTCGATTACGGACCAGGCAATGGAAAGACCATCCAACATGGAAGTACCACGGCCTTCGAAAAAAAATCCAAACCAAAAGTTATGAAGAAAAAAATGTGAAGCAAATCCCTGTTATGAAGTATTGTGACACGCGGGCGTCGCCTAGAATAGCTTAGAATGAATAATAATTATGTCGCTCTACGGCAGAAGGCTGACGAGACGTTCTTCTGAGAAGGATTGAGAGGTTTATATATTGGTACATATAATCACCAAGGAACGGAACGCTCTATTGAGATAACAGGTTCACAAAAATGAGTACTAAGCACCCCCGGCAATATTTATGATAGAACTGTACAAGAAAAATGAGGCCATTTCAATACAATTAAAGTTCGCATTCTTTTTTCAGAACGTGTTTGAGGGCAGGCTAAGATAAAAGTTCAAGAAAGGATCTTTTCAGGAAAAGTAATGGACCTAAGCTTTTCATCCAAACCCGTAAAATACAGCATTTAATTTTCTTGTACAACACTCGGGAGTGTGAAGTAAAGCAACGAACAGTGAGTCCTTTAACAAACCACGCTGAGTTCTTACCTACTTCGTCCACTACAACTAAAGACTTGTCAGTGGCTTGTGCTAAGATGAACGCTATTTCCAACATCTCAGACATAAAAGTTGACTGATGTTGTACTAGATTGTCACTAGCTCCGATCCTTGCAAATACTCGATCAACAATCCCTAAACAATATACCAAAACAATATCAGATTTTAAATAGGCGTTTCGTCCACAAAATCATCCCGTCAGGCGTACATGGTTCGAGATGTTAGAAGTCTTTCCTTTCCTCGCTGTTATTTCAAATTCAGTTATCAGATTATTTTTGCAAACACAGTAGCGTTTTTCATTTCTTTTGTTGAAAACAACAATGAACAGAACTGAAAGGTTCAAATACTTGTAAATCTGATTAAAATCAATTAAAAAACAAACATACAAACAAACAAACAAACATAGGAAGCGATGTGATGTTTACAGTACTTACCTATTGTTGCACTTTGAGCTGGAACAAATGATCCAGCCTGAGTGAGAATGGCTATCAAAGCATTTTGACGTAGAAATGTACTCTTACCTGTGGGATCAAACATATATTTATTCATTCTTATTTAATCATGAAGCTAAGGGTAGGACAGTGTGTTTGTTGAGTCACTACCTTAATGCACTACTATTACACCTAATAATAAAACATAAGTTTGAATATGTACAAGCTCGTTACTGTGACAGAGTGTACAGAGATGAAATGTTGATGTTGTGACCAGTGGAAAAAAAATGGACAGAGCCAACCAAACATTCTGCTTACTATCAAAGGTGAAATCTGAAGCGACACAGTGGACAGGATTGTCTCAGTATGTCTCTGGTGTTCAGCACAAGCTACAGTAACGGTTATTGTTTTTATCCTTTTTTCATTGTACATGCAAATAAAGGTTTAAATAAAAAAATAATATTGCACTTCAGGCATTTTACAACTTAAAAAATAAAATAAATTAATATAAAATAATTTCTTGTGCTCAGACCGCAATAAATTTTTTTAAACAGTGGAATATTTTATGAAGACATGATTGATCATCGCAGTTTACTGTTATACACACAACTTAAGCAGTTGTGAAATTAGAGCCTGAAAAAAAATTCAGGCTTGAACGGGATTTGAACCCATGACCTCTGCGATACCGGTGCAGTGCTCTACGAACTGAGCTATCAAGCCAACTGGGAGCTGGTCACATTGTGAGTTTGTAATGTACCTGTAGACGATGAAGAACGCAAATGAATATATGAAAGATCATATATTTGAACTGCGGAGAAAGATATGAAGACACGACTGATCATCCAGTTGTACACACAACTTAAGCAGTTGTGAAATTAAAGCCTGAAAAAAAATTCTGGCCTGAATTTTTTTATTTTTTGGAATATTTTGTTTGGCTCATCCAAACTTCATCAGCCACGCTCTGAGTACAGCCGGGAAATTATTTTATCTTTTAATCATGATTCCAGAGCAGGATAACAATATTTTTTGATTAAAATAATTTCATTCATGGGATTCTAGCGTATGAAAATGTTTACTTGTTTATTTTGTGAGTACTACGTCAAGGAAGCCCTGTTAGAATACTTACCACCCATGTTTGGACCAGTAACAATCCACACGTTCTTTTCTCCCAGATCAAGGTCATTACAAACAAAGCTGTTAGGCTGAAGCATGTCTACTACAGGATGTCGCCCACCTTTCACCAAAAATTCGTTCTGATTGCCTATAATGGGTTTGACATAACCTCTTTGTAAAGCCAGCAGCGCCAGAGAGGAAGATACATCTAACTCAGCCAATGAAAGAGCCATTTGTTTCAGACTCTCTGCATGGGATGTTACCTGGATAAGCCAAATGCAAGTTATACTGCATTCACATGATCACTACAAAAACATTTGTAGAATAAACAATGTTTATGACTAGCAAGTTTATCCAAAATGTGTTTGTAATTGCATTGCACGCAGAAGTTTTTTGCCTTCCAAACACATGCCACACATGGTTTGTCTGACGGCAATTTTCAGGATTTTTTGAGAACTTCTTTTCTGACGGAACAACACCATCATTCCTTTTTTATCTAACTCCACAATAATAATAATAATAATAATAATAATAATAATAATAATAATAATAATAATAACAATAACAACAACGATGGTTGACAAGTCACAGAATGACCCGAAATGTAGAATCTGTAAGCAGAGTAACGAGACCATTAGCCATATTG